GGGGCTACAACTACATCGGTCTTTACGGAAATTGTTCCAGTAACAACCGCCGCCAATAATTCTAATGATGATGCAACAGTTACTTTTCAACAAATGGAACCGAGTTTCACTCCAATGTCGCCGAAAATATCATCAATTCCCAATTATCATCCACCTGCAAACAGCATCAACAACAATAACATGATGACTAATGGAATTAATAATCATGCCGCTTCAAATATGCATTCTTCAGGAAGTAACAATACAACGAATTATAATTCGCCTGACATGAGTAGAAGAAATAGTCTGGCGCGATCTTCTTCATCCGCTTTCAATCATCATTCAGCAAGGCGTAACTCAATAAACAGTCCACGAGACAGGCGCTCGCCTAATAGTGCATCATCTAGTCGTAGAAGTACGAGGAGTGGGACTCCTTCGAGAAGAAGTCCAGGAAAGATTAATCATATTTTAGCGGACCAATCGGCGGAAATTGGAGGAGAAATAACAGAAAGAGATCAAATGTCTATAACAACAAATTTACATTTAGATAATTCGGTGCCAATGAATGATAATAACAATTCGCCATTACCATCGCTTGAAGACCCTTTACTTCTCAACAACGATGCCGTTGAAACATCAATTGCCAATAACATGCTCAATAGCAACGACAGCATCTCAGTATCTAATGCATCATATTCCAACAAAGTTCCCATTTACAGTCAATCACCAATTCATAACGATGTATTAGGACAATTATCTTCGCCACGTGAGGACTCGATTCCTTCGTTTATTGACGCGTCAAATGTTGCTGAAGGATCTCCTCCATACCTAAACGCGTCTAGCCCAACTGGCGACGCTGCCTCTTTTATGGATATTGCGAAATTGACAGAAGCGCCATTATCTTTTATGAAATCGGCAAATTCATCAGAAAATTCTAATTCTTCAGCTTACATCAATCAACCCAACAATGAAACTGCCTTTTTGCGTGGCAATGCTCGAACATCTTTTAATAGCCAATCTATTCTGACAAAAGAAAGTTCACCATCATTTAATAATAATACCTCAAATCAAATAGATGACCATCGTTCTTATATAAGTGCATCAAGTTCATCGGAGAGTTCTCGTAGTTATAGAAATCCAACAATCTTGAGTGAAGACTTGCCAACAATATTAAACGTTCAAAATGCGAATAATAATAACAACAGCAGCAATAATAATATTTCATCCTTCATAAGCGTCAAAAATGTATCCGATAATGTCCAGCCTTATATGAATGCGCCACATCAATTACCAAACCTATCCGAGACTTCTGACAATACAACCTACGCTAGCTACATACCACCATCGCCGCGAAGCTATGAAACAACAAACAGTTACATTCCTCCTCGCAACAATTTCGATAATACCCCCGTCCAAAATTATAATGAGACTACCATTGAAAACTCGTTGGTTTCCAATGATCCATATAATGAAAATCAAGGGTTATTAGATGATATAACCAGTCCAACAAGTTCCGGAGGCACTCTGAATTCAGTATCATCATTGAGTCCTGCATTTAATCAAGCTTCTGGTCAAAATCTAGTTTCATATGAAGAGTCTCCCTCGCCGATCGCTGATGAAAAACGTAATCCTGGAAATTTTTTCGATAAAGATATCGATCAAAATGAAGATTATTATGGTGGCGCTAGCTCTTCTACCTCATATAATAATAAAAATAATAAAAAACAAGAAAGTTCTGGACCTTCATCACCAATCCCAACTTCACCACGTTATCATCGACTTCCCGAATTAGGAGCATTGAGTACGGTATATGATGTTTGGAATGAATGGCATGTAGGATTAAATGGAAATCCTTCTATAGAGGAGTTGCTAACTAAATACGGAAGCAAATGGGCAAGCGATAATTCTAGTAGACTGTCTCGACGACGAAAAATTATCAAGGAAGTTAAACGAAGAATAGAGGAATTTGGCAACGATGAGCGAACGGCTATTGAATCTCTTGAGACGATGCGAGCGGGGAAATCTGTTAACTATTTACACGATAAATTATCCGGAAGAAAAAAATAGTATCTTTCATTTCTTTTTTTTTTACAATTAATTAATATCGGTCGTGATGATGGACTGTTTTTTCTTTTGAATTTCTACTAGTATTATAACATTTATTTCTTGTAAAAATTATTAATTCCCATATAAAATAGAGTTTTAATTACGCGGTATACTTTATAATAACGTGAATATGTTCTTCGGTAAAATATTGCCTATTTTTTTTCGTCGCTAGAAGCTCTTCAGAGTGAGGTTAGTTAATTCGTCGTCGCAATCGTCACAAATATTAGCCTTCCATATTTTCCTTTACATAAGTCGGCGGATTTCGAGTTTTCGACGGCGATCTCACCTTTTCAAATATTTTAATCCGATCCAAAACCAATAATAAAGTTTTTAGGTCAAATTTGTAATTAAATAAAATTCCTTGCCAATGCATCGAGCTTATTGAACTAGGGTGCCTTCTTGATAACATTTTTTGAGTTCACCAACGGTTTTTTTCTACTAAACAGGGAAAGCATGATCTGCGGCGGGAATCTTTCCTTAATCAAGCAAAAAAGTTATTGCCTTATACATAATAAATCCAGTTAAGCCGAAATGGTTTATCTCTGGTATATGGGGCAGTGTCTACTGGAACTATCAGCAGTGTGGGAAGTGATTATACAGGAGGTGACTATAGAGATTTTTTCTTTTAACACTCTAGGGAGATTTTTTCTTAACGCTCCAATTCATTTTGGTTAGGGCTAAAGCCAAGCTCACCCACAATCGATTTTTTCGATCCCTGATCTCGTTTTCTACAGCCGGCAAAGAATCCATCAGGGCTTTTTCGGACCACGTGATGATTTTTTAGTTTTCCACATTTTTCCGTTACACAATGATCTTGCGATTTGATTGGTTTACCCCTTAAAAATGCGTATTACCTTCATGTAATCCATCCAGAATAAATTTTTTTTACAGGGGAGGGTACAATAAAAAACTAATAATACAACAATATGTATAAATTATGAACCTAAATTAATGGGGAAGTCGAAAAATATATCTTGTAAACCCTTGCATATTATTATCAACAATAAAGATCCGCAAATCAAAATAGAATAAAAAAGTTTGGCTTACTAATTTAGCAACGAGATTTTGTTGGAACACTTTTAAACATTCAATAATATAGTTTAAAAGTTTAAATATTTTGTGTTTATTTATGCGCATCAAAGACAACGAACCTGCTGTCAAGGACTCCAATAGTGCTCAAAGAGCATTATCCGATGAAGTGTATATCAAACAAGAACCACGGGAAGAATTGCTATATCAACAGACAGCACAATCGTCCTCTTCATCTTCTAGACCGATCTCTGTGCTATCAGCTCAAAATGTTCCACGCACACCTCGAGCGGATATGAATCTTCCTTCTCAAGTACCGTTCACTACTGCGCCTACTGCCTCTATTAATAAAGATGCGATACAACAACAAAATCCTCCGAATATTGACGAATTTTTGTGGTAATTACCATTATTTATCGGTGGTAACATTTTTTCTACTTAATATTGACACTTTTATACTTGATCTGTTTTTAGTCCTATATGTTTGCAAATCATAAAAGAAGCGTTTATGGGAAGATGTGGTCATTCTTTCTGGTAACAATTTTTTCCTTGTCAAACTCCTAAAAATTAATACATTGGATACTTGTTTGATTGATTTGTTTTTGCGTAGTTATGTTTGCATCGTCGAACATCTTGATCGCAAGAAAGATTGTCCCACTTGCGGAGCTCATTTAATGCGAGATCAAATCTTTCCAAACTTCTTATGTTAGTAATTTAACTTTTTTGAAAGTAATTATAATATATAAATCTTTTACATTTAAAAATAATTGGTCGAATAGTGAACAGGCTGTTGGAAAAAGCATCAGCTATAGCTACAAACCAGTATGAGTTGACTCCGCCTACACAAACTCAACAGATGAAAGAAAAAATTATGAGCACAGATTTAAGCGTTGAAGGTTGGAATCAATGACGTTCATTTATTGATTTGAAATTATTTTTTTATTAGTTCATAATTTTTAAATGAAAAATTAGATATCGACGCCATGTTGATCACGTTGTTAGCGAAAAAACATAAAATGGAGTCAGCTGAAAAAGAGCTCGAGTTGGATGTATTGGCGGACTTCTTGTCAAATATGAAATCAAAGAAGGAAAAGGTACATCGTCAATTAGTGGTTTTTTTTGTTTCGATGACATCACTTACTTCACACGTCGATCAATTTTCTGTTGAGCAGAAATTGGAACTGTTGACCAAGGAATTAGAATGCATAGATAAAGATTTGACGATTACACACGAGAAGCTCAAATCTTTGGGACAACAACAGCAGCAACAATCGTTCATTGACTCAAGTACTTATGAAGAAAATACACGAGAGACTTCAAATAATTATATAGGAGCACAAGTGCCAAATGATGCTGCCGAAGCTGATGTTCCAGATGGTGAACCTCATCAACAAGGAAACGCACGTAGCCAATCGAGCAAGAAGAGAAAACACACTGTATGTCAATTTGTGTGTACATACAAATCTATTTCCTTCAAATAAGAATATAATACAATTCTTTTTACTTAAAAGGAAATGGAAGATTCTGGAATTGAAGGTTCCTTAATATTTGAAAAGTATTTATCGATTATTTAATTCAAGTTTATGAAGACACAATGATATTAATTCGTTAATACTATATGCGTATGGATATAGAGCGCCTTCAGAAACTCTTGATCAGCGACTGTTTGCAAAAAAGAAACGGGTTCGAGAACACTTTGAAGATCTAGAATCATGTTACTTATCCTATCGATTGCAAGACAGTATGTTTTTATATTTAGACTGATTTAAGTTATTTATATCAACCTAATTCTTCCATTTTATAAAGCCGATCCCCAGGAAGGAGGATTGTCCAAATTCTCGGATACACTTAGCTCATTCACAAGATATGGCCAATTTCGTCTAGTGAATACTTTGCGATATGGGGATTTATTTGGATCATCTTCCATAGTTTCTAGTATTGAATTTGACCGCGATGACGAGTACTTTGCAACTGCTGGTGTCACGAAAAAAATTAAGATTTTCGAGTATGGCAATATCGAACGGCAGCTTGTTGGGGCTTCGTTAGGTTATAATAATAATAATGCGAGCGCTTCCGTTAGGGATAACATGCTCAACCAGAGAAAGATTATGGATACATATCTTCATTACCCAATAAAAGAAATGACTTGCAAAAGTAAAATTAGGTTAATGTTCTATTATATGAATTTTTTGATCTTTTTCTTAAGTCTAATTAATTGACGCGAAATAACCACTCTATTTTTAAATAAATATTAGCTGTTTATCATGGAATACGTATATAAAAGCTCAAATTGCAAGTGCCGACTACGATGGCGTGGTCTCCCTATGGGACGTTAATACCGGAATGCAAGTAATGTCTTTCGATGAACATGAAAAGCGTGCTTGGAGTGTTGACTTTAGCAGAATGGATCCTACAAAATTGGCTAGTGGTAGCGATGATACCAAAGGTATTATTAAGACATTAATATGCTTTGACGCTAACAATGCCATATGATAATTGTTTTTTTTATATTTAAACATATGATAATCCAGTGAAAATTTGGTCAACCACAGAAAGACATTCAGTATTCACCATTGAAAGCAAAGCTAATATTTGTTGCGTTAAGTTTAATCCCGATATCAGTCATTACATTGCATTTGGTAGCGCAGGTGACTATCTTATCTGTAATATTTTCATTTAAAATTTATTCTATATATCATTGATTATATAATTTGAATTATTAGATCATCATGTACATTATTATGATCTGCGACACACGCGAGAACCAGTGTTCGTCTATAAAGGCCATCGTAAAGCGGTGTCTTATGTCAAATTCTTGGGATCCAATGAATTTGTGTCTGCGTATGTAATAAATAATATTTTGAGAATTTTTCTTTTCCGCTATTTACCATTTTTAATGATAATAGATCGACGGATAGCACCCTAAGACTCTGGGATACCAATACAAATTCATGCGTAAGAACTTTCACTGGACACGTAAACGAAAAGAATTTCGTGGGTCTTACTACGACGGCCGATTGGATCGCGTGTGGCAGTGAAGATAATTCAGTCTTTGCTTATTACAAAAATTTGTGTCAACCAGTTGTCCGATTTAACTTTGGCAGTATTAATAATGTAACGGTAATTATTAGTTGTTTATGCATGATGTTAGCTAATTTTAGGTAATCCTCGTTTTAATTAATCTTGCTTTTAACAGGGCGAAGAGACTCCAGAAAGTGATGCATCCCTATTTGTAAGTTCCGTCTGTTGGAAAAAGAATTCGAATACTGTGCTAGCGGCAAATAGTCAGGGCACTATCAAAGTGTTAGAATTGGAATAATAATAGTAGTATCACGTATTTATACTATAAAAAATAATAATGATAATGATAATAATATAATAGTAGTATAGCAATATTATAATAATAAAAATAATATCAATCAAGGCTCGATTAAATCGCAATGCTATCCTATAAACGGGAAATAAAAATTCGCGATTTACTGTTATATCATTAGATCAAAGCTATTTTGGCAAGTATACGAAATTTCCAAAATGCACAAATGGGATTACATTATGAGTAATGATCTTTGTAAATTCCCCACTTTATGATATCTGGTGTTCTTAACGTCCATCGTCGATCAGATTTTGATGATCAACATCATATTATTAATTCAGAAAGATCTGACTTTTAATTTATAAGAACCAATAATAATAAGGGCAGAATTAATATAATCGCGGAATTTTTCCGGGATGTGCATACTTTATTGTGTAACACTAGAAGTAAAAATGAAGTTACAGATATACAAGCGAATGAATATCAGTTTCGAGCAGTAAAATATAACGAATGGCTCTATGCAAAAAATTGATAACTGCTCCAATCTCTATCTCATTACTTGTATGAAAAGAAAAACGATGAATCAAATTTTTCTATGGAGACATAAAAGGTAACTGTTTAATGGCGCACAATATGGTGGCTTAAGCATTTTCTTTATCTAATAATTTCTGTGTTATTTTTGTACCAGCTATAAACAAGCTTTTATTGCGAATTAATAATAATCAAGCACTGGCCCATCTCTAAAACAAACAACGTGTGTTTGCGTAGCATTAAAATCGAAGTTTCGGATAACATATTTCAACTGGAAAGTAACACGTCAATTAAAATTATGGCAAAATAACTAGGTATTTCATAGAAAATAAAGTTATGAGTTTAGTAATATCGGTTCTTTAGCTAATGCTGATGTAATGATTATTCGATACGAAATCTAAATTTTCACCATATACGCCTCTTGTCTTGATTTGTTCACTCATTTGTTATTCCTCTAGAATATAATTTTACTGCATATGTTTTTGTTTTTCAGGATAAACACAGATTCGGGGAAATTACTTTTTTTGGTGAAATAATGATTGGTAAACATTTACATGTTCGATTTATTTTAGGACATATCTTTGAGAATTGCGGTAATGTTTGAATTGAAAATTTTTCCTTTGCTAAGCAATATCTTTTTTGTCATAATATAATCGTAAAGCTTATGTTTTCTTGTGCAGAATACACATTGATAGAGGAATGGAAGTTAAATTTCAATACCTGGCAGTATAATGAAATGAAAGACATCGTTATACTCGTTATACTTTAATAATTACACGACTGCATGCATCACATAATCTATACTTCTACTTACATGAATGAATTTTCATGAAACATAATAATAAAAACAAATTCAAATTTGTTTATTTCATTTTGTGACTCAAATTGATCATTTTTAGAAGTTCAAACTGGATCGAGTAGTGAAAATTTTGCTACATAGAACTATTATAATCTGTGCTCGGTTCTTGATCACATGCACTGTACAGACCAATAACCAGGCAAAACAAAATCACTTGCCGGCTCACACATGATTTGCCCATTCTTCTTAGATTATAGCCGCATCAGTCTGATCTGGGTTTAGTTTGCTCTACTATAAGAGTAATGTATAGGTTAGTGCTTGGGGATTGTTTATGCCGATTATCATTGTTTATGCCGATTATCATGTGGGGGAAATTGGGCACAACATATACTATGGGACGAACCAAACTTATTTCGATCGAACCAACTTTAATTCCCAAATTCGAGTACTTTAACATGATAATTAATGGTCAAATATCAAAACACACAATTGATATTTCCAAAGCACCAATTAAATCTACTTACATATTTGGTATTCATTTTAACGTTAAGCATTTAGTGAAACATTCCGTGATGAAAATTTCAATTACGTAATGATGTTTGTCGCAAAGGATGAATTTTTTATATTGGAAATAAATCGTTTAAATTTATCAGGCAAATATAAAATTCCGACACTTTAATCTCACCGAGATAGACTTAGATATAATTAAATGTCAAGGCGATTCGCAGAAAGTGACTTATTTTGGATGATATTATTCATTCAAGTGTTAAGATTTGAATGCAAAAACTTTGTTCCTAATTTTCCCATTAACGTGTAACAGGAGTTGGGAAAAACTAAAAGTTTCTCGGATTATGCCGCCGTGTGGTTATTAGGTGGGTTATGCTGCGCACAAGACTTGAATTACTTGCAAGAATACAGGAATCGGAATTGAAGAAAGACTCGAGAGATCGCCTATCCCGTATTTAGTTTTTGTATTATTTGAGTTACCTCTTTTGTTATCATTATAGCGGGTGACTTTAAGTTGACCATCTGATTTCGCGTGATCGATAAAAAAAATTGGTTAATATTGCCTGCTTTAGTTGAAGCCGCCATCTAATATAAATTATTAGAATAGAATTAATAAGAACCAATTGAAAAGTTTCGAATTTATTAAGAAGACCCGAGTTTTCTCTTTATCGATGGTTTCACAATGCGGGCCAGTACAGAATTTGGTGATATTCATTATTCGCTTTTGTTGGAATTAATTAATAATTGTGATAATAAATTTTTTTAACAAGTGTAGTATATTATGTACTGTAAATGTTCTGGTATCAATAATCAATGCAACTGGGAAAAATGAAACATGCGTATTTTAAAATGTACGGTTGATTACGCGAACCTTACCTAAAATAGCATCCCAATTAGCAAAAACTTCTACCTTTTATAGATATAATCCCACAAAATATGCCATGTAAATCTCGGAAGGTTAATCAAAGAGCAAGCGCGCGGTTGGTCAATGCTTTTTAACGTTTGCTTGAGAAAGTTATAAAATGAATTAACCGATGAACGAAAAATATACAAACATCAATAAAAAAAGCAAGTTCATATAAACGATAATAATTGTCAGATCACTTCGGTCTTTACTAATTCCATTTGACAATTAATAAAACCCACTCAATCTTAATAAAACCATGGCCAGCTTCGAACTTGCAAGAGATTCCGAATTTTATTCGGTGACAATAACATCAACCATCTTGCAAACATTAAATCTGTTAGGCGCTGCCTATGTATTTTATAGATCGTTTCTACACTGGCGAGCAAAAGAGTATGGGTCGCTGGCAATGACACATCGATTGCCATTATATGCCGCGTCAACAGGTAATATTCGCAAAGTATAATTGAAAATAAAAGTGACCATAATTAAACTTTTTCTGATTTTTTTTTAGATTTTTTTAATGCGGGGTTGAATATTATTAACGCTGTGATTATATTTTTTTATATTTTATCGACATTTCATTGCATACTATATATAATACTAACCCATATGCAAACATTTTTCTCCCCAGGGATACACATTATGCAATGCTAAAACACTGCCGGAAGTACCGTGTGCAGCCACTGGATGGATGACGGCAATTCTTAGTTTTATTAATCAATTCTTGTTCCTTGGGATCTCTCTAGTAACTTATTTAAGAAGTAAATAACTTTTCAATTTGCGATAACAGATTATTATTTTTCACATACGCTTACCATTTCTCTTCTTTCCTCAGTATGTCAACATAAAACCATAGATCTTGGTCGATTTGACTATAAACTTATTTCATTCAGCCTTTTCATAGCCGGATTTATAATAGTGATTGTTTCCCGAGATGGATACGGTGCACAAAAATATTGGTTAGTTGAACTTTATTAAGAAATTCTCTAATTCTCTACACATGCATTCGATTAACATTTCTTTTTTTATATGTGTGTGTGTGTGTGTGTGTGTGTACTATTGCATTCAGGTGTGCACAGAAAGCCCACGCAAAAATATCGTTAATCATACCGTTGGTTGAGATTAGTTTGGTCGCATTGATTTCGTTATTTTGTTATGTGGAAACTTTGCGAACACTTCTACGCAATCGTAAAGAATTGAATAGAGGCACATCCTCTAATGCTCAACGTCAGAGATATGCCCAAATTGAGGAAAGAGTTACAAGGAAGATTATCACTTATGTTCTTTTTTTTAATCTACAATGGGTGAGCGAGTTTTGCAAGAAAGTCTGCGTAACAGAATGCCAAGTTTGATTTGAAGCTTATCTTTGCCTCTATGACTTTTATAGCTCCCTATTGTTGTGTATGCAGGCGCTGCTTTACTCCAGGTAAAATTTTATTCGATAAATTTCTGAAAATTTGATTTATTTTTTAAGTGGTTAACCTTCCTTATTTTATTAGCCAATGGGAATAGATACATGGGTTTATCTTGTAGGAGTCATTGGTAGGTTTTCATCAAGTTTTCTTTTTTTTTTATCAAACCGATTTTCTGTATTTAACTTATAATAATTTTATCAAAAGGTTTGAGTTTCGGTGGAATCGGAAATGCAATAGCATATGTACTGAATGAAGGCTGGGATCCAAATCGTCAAGGCTCAACATCCAGATCGCAAAAATTCACACCCCCTACAAATAATAGTCCGCAAACCACATGTAATGAATTATTAGCGATTAAAGTTGATGTTGATGTTGATGTTTTAGCTGTTAAGGGAATTAAAGATAGCTTTTAAATCATATTTTATAGTTTCATGAAATGAAAAATATGCTACAAAAATTTATTCGATTAAAAGTTCAAATTTAGCATTATTTAAATATACGGATCGATCCTTTATAACTTAAATAAGCAATAAAATATCAGGACTACAAACTTTCACAATATACAGTATGTAGACGCGTATATACGTGTTCATAAATTCGGTGGACTTTATTCATTCAGATTGTGTCTTTGCAGGTATCTAGACACGGTGTATATGTAAAATCAAAGTGTCAAATTCAATATGAAGGTTTTGTTATTATTAAATGAATCAATCTTCAGAAGATTTACCCTGAAATTTCGATCTTTTTCTAGTAAATATCAGTTTTGGAGAGTTATTGGACGTCCAGAATGTGATATAGGTCGAGTTTATCATTTTTTTAATTGAACAATATACTTATATGTCAAAGAGAGGGGAACACAAGTTAATTTTGCTAAAGTCGCATACCACCACGCTTCAAAAGCTCATTGACAGTTGTTCGTCGCTCAGCAAATGAGTTTTTGTCCATTTTGTAGTGAGAAAAAAAAGTGCGCAATCTAATAACGATATGGTTTTTTTTAGAGTTTATTTATCTGGTACAATGTAATAACCAACTTTTATTTCACAGTAAATTTAATAATACATGTTTAAAAATAAAATGGAAAATGAACATGCATGTCCTTGTATTAATAATAAATAATGGCTAATAAAATAAAATAAAATAAAATAAAAAAATAAAATATAACAATTATGTCAATTTATAAACATATTATTTAACGACAATTGAATAATATGATTTTAACCGCATTGACATCCATTACATGCACAGTCGGCAATACAGACGCAGCTACTATAAAACCAAAGATAAAGAAATAAAAAAATGAGAACTTTAACAAAATGAATTTATTGACGACAAATAATTTTTAATGCTTACTGATTGCCGCAGGAATTTTCTACTTTCGTTTTGATAACTGTAGCAGCTTTTTGATTGCAATTGCATGCAAGCCCACATTTACAGGAATCGCCACATTGGCATCCACATCCATCATTAGTAAAAGTCATGTTTAGCGTTTAATTTAAAAATTAATGAGAAGAGATTTATTTTTTATGTTGTGCGTTTCTTTATGATTTGAAAGTAAAATTTGGAGAGCGAGATTCGACTCTTTATATAAGAATGGGGTTCCTCTTTCTTTCGAATACGTAAGATAGGTGAAAACACATTCTTACGTATTAACGTTACTTATTCTACTTGTGCATGCACTACATTATTTTATTACATAAATTTGCTTTGTTTTTTTCTAACTATTTAAACCAGTTTCAAAATACAAAACAATAATGTATATGTAATTAGTTTGCGCGATTTTTGCCTCTATATTGAGCAATTTTTGCTTAGTGAGCGATTTTTGCTTCTTTATTGAGCAAGTTTTGCTTAGTGAGCGATTTTTGCTTTCAGGTTTGACAATGAAAGTCGAACCCGATGAGAGCGCGTGAATAAACAATTTTTTTGTGTTTTTCAACTTATGGGGAGGTAATTTGTCACGTTCTACTAATTCGCCTAATAGATAATGCTTATGATACGTCATACAATATAATTAAGTGAGAGAGAAGTATAACGGTGACAATAATAATTACACATGCAACAACACGAACGCAATTTATGCTGATAGGCGTAATTAAACTTTTTTTCGCGGCGTGCAACAACAAACGCAATTTATGCTGGTAGGCGTAATTAAACTATTTCGTGCACGCTGTACACCAGCCTCATTTATCTATGATTATGCTTCTAATTCCTTAAAAACAGATCAAATCTATTACTTTCCCTCTATTAAAACACTATGATTTCATTGTGTTCGAGAAAAAAGACACGTAGACAACCAATTGAAAAGGTCAAAGTATCCACCTGTCCAGATAACAAAACAAATTATCAAAAATAACTCTTGATTTGATTAAATTAATCTGGACTCTCATTCGACAAGAACCAGTATTCAACATACTTAACGATTCATTCACGGATAAATTGATTATGAGATCAAGAAAGACAACAATACCGGTAATTAATAGAAGGAAAAAAGAAAAGTTTTATGATTATATCAGCTAAACAACTTTAATTAATGACTGAAGACAAATTTCTTGATATATTTTTTCAATTTCATACATTTGTAAATATCTCAAAAATTACCTTAGAAAACAGGTATTTGTGTATTAAGTAAATACTGTTCAACTGATCCATTTACACTTATAATAAAGATTTCAAGGAAGAAATATTTTCTGTGCTCTTTTAATATTGATTTAATGATCATCCCGCCACTACTTTCCGTCAGAACTGTGTCTCCCTGATACAACAAATATCTCCTATTTTCATCCATAACAATAATTTTATATCATTAGGGTTAACAATCATTTCTACGAATTGTATCTGCAAGTGATAAAATCCAATGCTAGTTATTTTCAAAGAATTATTTAAAATTATTTTATACATCTTAAGATATAAAAACAAATGTTATATTTTATCGACATTTCATTGCATACTATATATAATACTAACCCATATGCAAACATTTTTCTCCCCAGGGATAC